CAAAGTTATCAGAAGTAATAAAATGTTAAAGTAAGGAGGAAATAAAAACTAAAAAGTCAATCGAAAAGAGAAACGAAATTAAGAGTTGGTATTTTGAAAAAATAAACAGAATTGACAAACCTTTAGCTAAACAAACCAAACAGAAAGAATCAAAGAGATGTTGTAACTGAGACCAGAGAAATACAAAGGATTATAAGAGACTATAACCAACAATAATATACCAACAAACTAGATAGCCTAGAATAAATGGATATATTCCTAACATTCATATCTAATCACAAAAAAATCACAAATAACCAAGGCAATCCTGTGCAAGAACAAAGCTGGAGGAATCGCAGTTCCTGATGTGAAATCATATTACAGAGCTATAGCAATCAAAACAGTATGATATTGGCATAAAAACAGACACAGACCAAGGGAACAGATTAGAGAGCCTAGAAATAAAACCACACTATACAGGCAAATACTTTTTGACAAGGATACCGAACAATATACAACAGGAAAAAGACAGTCTCTTTAATTGTGCTGAGTAATAAAGTGGTGTTGAGAAAACTGGATATCCATGGGAAAAAAAATAATTGGCCTCATCTTACAACATACCCAAAAATAAACTCAAACTGGATTAAAGACTTAAATATAAGACCTGAAAACTTTAAATTCCTAGAAGAAAACAGAGGAAAAGCTCCGTGATATTGGTCTTGGCAATGAGTCTTTGAATAGGACATTGAATGCACAGCCAACAAAAGCAAAAGACATCAGTGGGGTTACACCAAGCTAAAAAGCTCTGCAAAGCAAAGAAATCATCAACAAAATGAAAAATCAACCCATAGGATGGGAGAAAATATTTACAAACCATATATCTGATAAGGGGTTAGGATCCAAAACATACAAGAAACTCATACATTGGAATAGCAAAAAATCGAATGACGTGATTAAGAAATGGGCAAAGAACCTCAATAAACATTTCTCTAAAGACATGAATGGCTGACAAGTACTTGGAAAGGTGTCACTAATATCAGGGAAATGCAAATTCAAAGCACAATGATATATCACTTCACATCTGTAAGAATGACCATTATTAAGAAAGATAAATGTTGGCAAGGATGTGGAGACCAGCGAACACGTACACACTGTTGGTGGAAATGGAACTTGCAACAGCCATTATGGAAAACGGTATGGAGGTACCTTGAAAAATTGAAAGTAGGAATATCATATGAGTCAGCAATCCCACTTCAGGGCATATATGCAAAGGAATTGAAAACAGGTCTCAAAGGGGTATCTACACTCCCTTGTTCACTGTTAATATTATTCATGACATCCAAGATACGGATATATCTATTAAATCAATGTCCATTGATAGCTGAATAAAGAAAAGGTGGTATATGCATATAATGGAATATTATTCTGCCATAAAAAGGAAATCCTGCCATTTGTGACAAGCTGGATAGACCTGGAAGGCATTATGCTAAGTGAGATAAGCCAGACACAAAAATATAATTATTGCCGTTCTCACTGATATGTGGAATCTAAAAGAGCCAAACTCAGAAGCAGAGAATAGAGAAGTGGTTTCTAGAGGTTGTGGGGAGGAGGAAATGGAAAGTGATGGTTAAAGTGATAAAGTTTTACTTGTGCAAGGTGAATAAATTCTGAAGATCCACTACATGGCACAGTGCCTATGGCTAACAACGCTATATTGCACACTTACTATGGTATTTTATGGTTAAATGTTCTTATCACACACAAAAAATAATAATAGTAAAGGGACAGGAGGAAACTTCAGATATTTGATGGTGGTGATGATTTCATTGGTATATATTTGTCCTCAAATTCAAGATGTATGCACTAAATAGGTACAGCTTTTTATACATGAATTATATCTCAATAAAGTGTTTTTTTTTTTTTTTAAAGAGGCTGGGTACAGTAGATCATGCCAGTAATCCAGCACTTTGGGAGGCCAATGGGGGAGAATCACTTGAGGTTAGGAGCTCAAGACCCTGTCTCCACAAAAAAGTAAATTCAAAAAAATTAATCAAGTGTGGCGGCACCCACCATTATATTGCTAGCTACTTGGGAGGCTGAGGCCACAAGATCACTTGAGCCCAGGAGTTTGAGGCTGTAGTGAGCTATGATCACAACACTGCAATCCAGTATCATGGGTGAGAGAGCATGATCCTGTCACCAAAAGAAGAAAAAAAGAAAACAGAAAAAAGAAAAGAAAAGAAAGATTCTAAGGAGAATGGCTCCTAAGAAAGCCAAATGTACTGAGTTCTAGAGACCTCTCTTCATTCATTCAATAAGTATTTGAGGGAACTGCACACTCATTAAACATTTCAGGAGCTTTAACTCCTCATCCTTCCCAGCCATTAGGAGAGGGCCTTGGAATTAGCTATAGGGATGTAAAATTCAGGCTGATTTCTAGGGTTCAATAGTGGGAGTCTTTCCAGAAGTTTATTTCCAAACACTAGGTCAGGAGATCTTGTGCCTGAAGCCTACAGCATCCTTCTGGGTTGGTGCTGACCACTGGCTAAGGTTCTGAGTCAGCCTAAACTAATAAGTCACTTTCTTATTCCTGTGAGGCTGGGCTTGATTACTGTTAACGTCCAAAGGGCAACCATGGCCAAAGGTGGTGACTGAGTGGCAAAGCCTAATCTCAGCCAGGTCATTTCATTCAAGCCAAGGCCTGGTTTTACTCCTTCTTTCTTTTTATCCTCACAGTCCCCCCAAGAAAATCCAGGCCCATCTCAGTTCTGCCCAGTTGCCCCAAGCGGGCATGTCTGCCATCATTTCCTGTATCCATCCCCTTCTTAGGGTCCAGGCTGCAAAGAGCAATCTTTCAAGGGATGTCGATTATCCCACTGTTAGATCTGCCTAACTGCTTTTTAAATGAATTAATATGTGACCTACTCAAAGCACTGGCAATGCCAGGTACAGTCTTGGTTATCACTATTATTATTGTTACTATTATCCACCAGGACTGTAACTCTTTCCAGATTTATACCTTATTTTAATCATCTTTTTTTTTAATCATGGAAAAGCATCAGGTAAATGGCAGGCACCCAATAAATATTTCTCTATTAATGTAACTGAGTTGTATTTTTAAATTCTTCAGTGACCTGAATAAACTGCTGACCAAACAGAAACAAAGGGACTAGGAGAGTATTTGAGAGCCCTAGAGATTAAAGATCGAATCAGTTCTTCCACATAACAGACATGGGACCTTGGAAAAAGTACTCAACCTCTTTGAGTCTCAGTTTCCTCATCTGTAAAATGGGAAAACAATGGTGTCTAAGTTACAGGTGGCTGTAAGGATGAACAAAACAAGGCATGTAAAAATGCCTATCATGCTGTGGCACATTCTAAACAGTCAATAAATTATTCCAAGCTCAGGAGTTAGAGACCAGCCTGAGCAAAAACAAGACCCATCTCAACTAAAAAAAAACTAGCTGGGCGTGGTGGCATACACCTGTAGTCCCAGCTGCTGGGGAGGCTCAGGCAAGAGGATTGTTCAAGCCCAGGAGTTTGAGGTTGCTGTGAGCTATAATACCACTGCACTTTACCCAGGGCAACAAAAGTCTCAGGAAAAAAAAATTATTCCCTATTATCCTCATGGTCCCCAAGACTAAGAAAACATTCAACTGCCAATCTTTCCCAATATTTTAAAAACACATCGATATTTTAAACTGTTTTGGAGGAAATGGAAAAAATATCCTTCATTATTATTTCTAAAAATGCTTAATAGGTGCCAACATGTTGGAGCAACTGGTACATAGCTTGACAGGAAATCACTTCCCAACTATTGTTTAAACGTTTTCTTTTCATGAGGTGGTAATTAACTAATCACAGCTGCTTACCCTTAAAAGTGACATCATACAATTTGTGTTCCAGTTCTTGCCCAAATAAAGACAATTTTCATAAAGGGCTCAGAGAGAAGCACCTCTAAGACCTTCACCTCCCGCCTCTAGCAACTGGTAAGTGGACAGGGGTCTCTGCTGGGTACTCCAATGCTCCACTGTGTCAACTGAGGCTCAAAGTACTTAGGACACTGCAGCCTTGACATTTCCCTCACTTCCCCGCCCCCCTGCCCCAGTGTTGTAGAAGCAGCTTCCGTTTCTTCTGATATATTAAGTAACCCACCCAGAGCCTCACATGTGGCTGAAGGTAGATTGTGAACCTAGGCGACAAGCAGTAGAGTGGATGAAGGTAACGCTGGAGACTCAGAGGAGGAAATAGCCCATGAGAAGACAAAGGTCAGGACCACATCAGTCAGCCCGAGGAAAAGTACAAGGGCTGGGAATGACTCACCCAGAACCACCCAAAAGTAATTTTACTGTCCCATAAACCGTAAAACTATTGCCCAAGAGTCCAAACGTCCAGGTGTTGCCCGCCTTCTTTCCACTTCAAATACCTCCAGGAACCGAACACCAAGATACACCAGCAATGATGACAATAAATAGTTCCAGCGCCCTCAGCCTGGACCACCACACTGTTACGCCCCCACAAGCCCCATCTTCTAACCCCGCAGCAAATCATCTCCGGATCACCACGATTCCCACTTAACGGACGATGCACAGACAGGGCCAAAGTCCCACAGGTGGCAGGCAGGGGCTAGAGGACTGGACCCCAGGCCTGTCGAGCAAGGGAGCCCTCTGCTAACCGCTGTGCCAGACAACGAACCTCCTTCCCTTCAAAGCCCTTTCCTCTTTCTCTTTCAGATCCCGAAGAGCCCAGGGTGTTCCCAGCTCCTGACTAGGAGGAAAGGGAGGACGAGGCAAAGGATGGCTGTTGCAGAAAGAGCTCTTTCCCCCAGAGTTTCGGTGCTAGCCGGGGGGGGG